CTTACTAATAAACTTACAAGTTATAACCTAACTACTATAATAGTTAGAATCTGCCTGTGTCAAGAGAAGCTGATCTCCGAGTTACTATGATACCTATAACAAGCCGGTATCAAACTACTTCTTGAATTACTGGAAACTTTATAACTACTAATATTGCGACTAATCTCCGAGTTATCACGACAGTTACTGTCTGACAACATCAATATCAGCTCTTCCCTTTTTCTATAACATTTTTAAAGAGCTCGTTTAAAGGATAAAGGATATTAAGACTACTTCCCAAGGTATTGCAGCATCACAACATTCAAGACCGTATATTATCGTAATAAAGTTCAAGATTATTGCGATATTTAGAATCAAATGTAATCGAGATTATTCGTTCACGTGGTATTAATATTATTCCGCTGAGTTACTATGATATCCTGTTTCACTATTATAGAGTCTATTTCGCGAGAAACTATTTAGTCTTAAACAGCCCCTACTGAACCTACTTTCTTCCTTAACGAACATCACACGCACGTACGTGAATTATAGCTCCTTTCTTTATGTCACTACGAACAGAGTATTACGTGCCTGTATTAAAGCTTCTTTCTGTTTTACTACAAAAGATGCTACCAGCAAATATCAGGAGAGCTTTTACATGTTTTTTCATCATTATGATAATTTTTATGCCATTCTATAGTTACAGTCGTACATCAGGATGTTTCTCAAGAAGTAATATTGTATTTATATTGACCAGTGTCTAACTTTCCATTATCCAATTTGGCATTGTAGTTTTTCTTTTCACCTATTGTCTTAGTAAAGTATGTTTACAATATATTTGTGCAGTATGAAGAGGAGTATAGATATTTCTAGTACGACGACTTAATCACAACTAATAATACTTGGAGACGGCTTGAATGGGTAATGAAGAAAAACTTTAATATAAGTTTAACATAACAGCAAATGTACAACGTTTCGACAAGATTTTGTCATCATCAAAGTCAGTTCTTCGTCATCGATTTTTAATTAATCATGGCGATTAATCGAGGTTGTGTAAGTTTTAATGTTTATTTTTATTATTCCATTTATAACGTTTTAAGTATGTTCTCTCCCCTATCCACCATCATAAACCAATCGAAAACTATCTTTAAACTTCGTAACCTGAATATCAAAAATCATCAAAAGGGTACCTGATGATGACAAAGCTTTTTCGAAACGTTTTACATTTGCTGTTATGTTAAACTATATTACAGTTTTCCTTCATTGCCCATTCAAGCCGTCTCCAACCATTATTAGTCTCAAAGTGGGTTCTTCGACATCGAATTTTAACCACAACTAACTATCATGATTTTATATTACTTTATACTACTTTGAGTAATCCTAAATTAACGAGCCTAACGACGGACTTGATTGTGAATCTTCACCCATCACTAGTCATTAACTCAAAATTTGTTTTTTGACTTTTAGCATTAATATAGTGGTATCAATCTCTTCAGATTTTCTAACTAACTTCTGAGACTTGCTCTCCCATGGGCATTATTATAAGACTCACCTTTCAGCAGAAATTACTACAATTTCCTTTATTTCCTTTTTGACACCCACTTTATCCTGGGCATGATTTAAGGTTTTCAGAGTTATTTTTACACATTTCCGTGTATTATTGCAGATTATTTAAATGGTTTTGCTCTTTAATTTACGAATATCTAGTACTGCATGCTAGTTTTATGACTAGACTTATAAATTTCATCTATGTGAGAGCATTTCTGTAGGTTTTTAAACTGGATTTTCAAAAGCAAGCATTAACCGAGACCATTTGAATTTCTTAGAGGGAAGTCGATTTTTTGTGTTACGTATTACAATTTCGAATAGCCTAAAACTGAGTTAAATTGTACTTTTGATTTAGTAGTTAAATAAATGCCGATGTGTATCCAATTTATGATATTTGCCAACAAGATTGATACACACAGTTTTCTTTTCTAATACAAA